ACGTTTTGGCTCAGAGCCCCCCCCCCCACCCCACCCCAGAAGACAGGACAAATGAAGAAGCCACAAGAAATCGAAAGTGGCTCAGAATTCTTATAATGGAGCGTTTCTCAAACTTTATTTACTTGTTACCCGCTTCAAGACTGCAGCTGCCTCCCGAAAACGCCTCGTTCCCACTTCAATATTTCAGTTGCCCCCGCACCCCACCCGTTGCCCACTTCCCTATTATTTATATAAGCGTATCGCTCTTTTTTTATATATACATACTATCTTTTATATAAAATGTACGTCGTCCCCAGAAATATTCGGTGGCTCCAGGGGGTGGGGTGTGCAAGGGTACCATTGAGAACCATTTTTATAACGTTTCAATAAAGCCGAAAAAAAAAACAATTAGGCTACCATTAGTTTTGAGAACCCTCAGTCTGTAAGGTATTTAAGCCAAACAAAATGTGAAATTATCAGTTTAGAGAGGGGATTTGATGATCTACACAGAGAGGAAAACAAAGTTAGTAAAGTACCAGCATATATTTGAGAACCTCCGTGTACCGTATTTTTAATAGAAGTGAGCTAACCACTACTAAAGCTGCTCAAGTGCATTAGAGCACAAACCACCATTGCACAAGCCTCTTGTACAATAACCAACCAGTATGCAAGCCTCTCGTACACTAACCAACCAGTACACAAACCTCTTGTACACTAACCAACCAGTACACAAGCCTCTTGTACACTAACCAACCAGTACACAAACCTCGTGTACACTAACCAACCAGTACACAAGAATCTTGTACACTAACCAAAAAGTAGTCAAGCCTCTTCTACACTAACCAACCAGTATCCTCCCCGCGTTGCCCTCCGCACGGAGGCTGTCGTCAGGAGACACCTTAATTTCCTCTCCTCGGGCTCGCCTTCCTCCGAAAACTCCCCAGACACACCCAATTAATAATTCATCCAAGGGGGAACCCCCTCATCAGATCCACTTCTATAATTGATGACGTGGACGGGGGACAATTTGGTCATCAGGGGAGGTAATCAGTTTCTTGGCCACAGCACGGTGATGGGCATTAATAATTCTAATGGTGTACTGGCTGATTGATTTCGCTAAGACGTTTAATATGTAATGCAACCAGAAAGACAATGTGAAGAAAATACGCTTTACCGAGGGGTTTTCCCGATAAAAGTTGCTGGCTCTCAAAGTGTGCGGTGTCAAAACTTTGTTACTAAAAATATCAAATGTCTTTGTGAAGAGTCCATCAAATGTGTGGTCATATATTTATTTTTTTAAATATATGTTTAAAGTAAAGTAGACTACCAAATGACGTCACCCACAATAATAATTGTCTTGTTTGTGTTCATCATCCAGCGAGATAGCTAGGGGAAAATGAAACAACCAAATGAGAGAGAAAAGGGGTAGGGAGAACATAATATAAGTGCGTATGTTGAGATAGAGGGAGACATAGGGAGAGGGAGAGAGAAAATGAGTGAAACAGAGCATGTTAAAACCTGAAAAACGGAGTCAAAAAAACAATGAACGTGTCGGCAAGAAGCCTTCTTCAGCAAACAAACAACAGTAAAAAAAATACTACACAATTAAGATAATCTCTGGGCTGCTTTGTGGTATCCGAGAGGACAGCAAGAGGCATGTGATGGAACATAAGAAGGTGAGAGAGTTGGTCATCGGTTTCTTGGTCAATTTTGAGAGCGAGAGCAACTCTATATGAGAGAGAATGAGAGAGAGAGAGAGAGTCTGAAACTAGTGAAAGAGAAAAGAGCGAACGATACATACAGCTGGGGCACTGGTATGACAATCTTATGACTTGCACAATTTTTAAAAAGTAAAGAATCAAAATCATGGAGGTGTTAACGTAATCTGTTACATCAAACAAAAAGAAGTTTTTACCAGTACTTACAATACATTACATTACATGAGCTAACAATCGGGCGCTTCCGTCTATGCCAATAACCGCCATCAGAAATAGTCCACCGAGTTTGTATTTTTTTTTTAAAATTCAAATTCCTACTTCTTTTAACTAAATTCAAACAATAGATGTATTACAGGAAAATTGTGTTATCCAGCTATTCTATAGAATGCCTGAAGATTCTAGTTTTCACACTTTGCCTGCACCAGATGCATTTTCCGGAGCTTAATTAAATAAGCTTTACAATTATTTTTTTAGATAAATTTAAAAGCAAATGCGTTTAATATTCGACAAGCTTTGAAAATCTCGACTTCTTCAATAGTTTAATCGACTTTGGTTGTCAATTATCACCCAATGCGCTTGTGTCGATCAATTTTTTCCCCCAAGAAGATTAAACTAGTTTTAATATTTGCATCTCTTAATTGTACATTGTTACTAATGTTATCACTATTCATCATAAATATATCCTCAAACCTCTCTCTTCTTATATATATATATATAAATCTATATCAATTATAATAATAATAATGAAGTTCAGTTCAAAAACACGCTTCATTCATACTTTGGGCTCGAGCGCGGTAAAAAAAACAACAACCATGTATGACAATTTGCATTTTTACACATTAAAATACAAAACGATCCAATAGATGATCTAATGGACAATACAAGCCAATATACAACGAGGATATATGAGCAAGCTGGAAACAAGAAGGTAGACCCCAGCAGGTGAGTGCGAAAAAAGATGTGTTTTCAACTCAGTTTTGAAAAACTGCAGTGTCTGGCTGTTTCTGAGAGCAACAGGAAGAGTGTTCTTGAGTGAGCAAAAGGGAAAGTGCGCCTTCCGTGGGTCTAAAGGCGGCGTCGCGGTATCCAGAGTTTGCCACTATCTGATGAACGGAGTGATCTAGTGGGTACATAAGGCGTCATAGCGCTTTGAGATAGGACGTCGCTAGGTCATGTAAGCAACGGTAGCACAGAGTTGCAATTTTGTACTCTATGCGAGAGCGGACCGGCAGCTCTCTCAGAAGTATTTTTGCATGGTCAAATTTGCGTTTGCGAAAAACAATGCGAGCCGCATTATTCTGTGCTTTTTAAAAATTCTATCCAGGAGCGTAGCCGGAAGACCCACCATGAGAGCATTGCAGTAGTCCTTGCGTGATAGCACGAATGCAGACATCAGCCTCTTTGACTGATATGACTAATTCTGCACAGCTCTTGAAAAATCGCCTTGCAAAGCATGTTAATATGATTTCCATAGTTGGTGTTCTGTCTAAGTAGACACCCAGGTTTCGCACTGTTTGAGCAAACTCAATCTGCATACCTGAGAAAGTAAGGGATCGTTTGTTATTTACAGATGTTTGCCTTCTGAGCTGTAGCAATGGGGATCTCGTCATCGTTCAAGTGTAGCTTGTTTACATTCATCCAGTGCTTAACTGACTCCACTGTCTTCTGTGTAATACTAAGAAGCTGAGGGAACTGAGAGGGGATCACGGACTGCTGAAGTTAGGAACATGTGATATAGCATGTCAAACGGCTTGATCACTGCACCCAGGGGCTGACAGTACATAGTATTTAGTATAGTGAAAAGCACCGGGCCTAGGACCGAGCCCTGGGGTACTCCAAAGTCGATAATAGATTGCTTCGAGGTCAAGCCGATATCTTGACGTATCCTTAAACATCCCCACAAGACAACTACGTTCTTCCATTGACAGTAGACCCCTCTCAATCCCAAGAACCAAAACTAAGACCATCGGTGAACGCTCCTTCTACTTCCTTGGGCCCACGTTCTGGAATCAGCTCCCCTTCCATATCCGTCATTGTGAAACCTCGTCCATTTTCAAAAAGTTCCTTAAAACTCATCTGTTTAGGTCCGCCTATGACCTGTGATGCACCCTCCTTGCCCTGCCTCATTTTCTGTTTCGGGTTGATCCTGAAGTATAGGCCAAAACGTGTCAAAGTGTCCTCGTTTTATAGCCATTTTCATTGTTTCTATAGTATAGTAGTTACTATCCTAGTGTCTCATTTTTATTTTACTTAGTTTACATGTTTTTAATAATTGTAAAGCGCTTAGAGCTTTATGGTAAGCGGTATATAAAAATGCCTAAATAAATACATAAATAAATAAACATCAACTCAAAGTTCCCATCACCTTACGGGTGTGGGGAGGGGGTGGTCAGCAATGATTCGTTCTACATTCTGAGGGGCCGCATGTTCGACAAATTGTGGAGTTAATGCATGGAAGGGGGCGGTTAAAATCTTCTCTGTCTTTTATTTCACATGTCTGTGTTGTTTTTAGATACGAATAGGTCCTGATTGACGATTGTTTAGTATCTGTATCACTAAAATATTTAGCAAGTTTGTTATTCAAAACAGTTTGCTAAAAATAGAACTAATTTTCCGGTGACAGGAGGCGGGGGAAAAGAAACAGAAGGGGGAATAACCTGGTGTGTTTAGATAAAATCAATTAAACGGCATTACTTCCCTTAAATTGTTATTTCCTTGATTTCGGGCAGGTGTGCGATATTTTAATGTTCAGGAGCATGAACTTGTTATTTGAAGGTTATCATCATCTTAGATAATCTATTAGATCTATGCTCCCAGCTCCTATATTTACTGAAACATAGGAGCCAGAATGATCAATTCATTGATCGTGGGCCCTCAAATTAAAGAAGAAGACAAAGTCAGCCAAATGGACGAGTAGTTAGGCGCTCAGTAACCTATGGACACATGTAGAAGGCGTTTTTTTTTTTTTTTTTTTTTTTTTTGGGGGGGGGGGGGGGGGGGGGTGGTGAATTATTGGACAATTTCTTAGTTCTACAATTTGGGATGTTCTAAATTCTAATGGTTGGAGATGCCCCCTGTTCTAGGTTGGCTCAATTATATATTTTGAAAATTAAAATTTTTGTAAGAATGAAGTTTCTATACTTTTTAAAAAGTGTTATCTCTTAAAGAACCCCCAAACAAGAAATAGGGTTTGTTCGTACCTGGCACTGGTACTATACTGTATTATTCTGTGAAGTGTACTTAAACAATCTGATGTCAGAGAGATTGGTTTATAATTTATTGTTTTCAGAACATACCATGTGACCAGAACAAAGTCAGAGTGATAAGCAACCATAAAAAAATGTGGAAAATGTTAAATGTATTGCATGATATTCAATAGTTTCATGAAACAAAATAAGCAAAAATCACACAATCTCAGTCTAGAGACTTCAGAGCGTTTAATTTCAGTCACAAATTTTTGAATGTCAAAAACCTATGTAAACCTCTACATTTCACCTCACTTTTATCACTTCGGGTAGTTTTAATAAAACAATAATGCAATGAAAAAACGTTCTGTCCTAAGGTGAAGTGTCATACTCTTTTGGGGTTGTTCATAAAGGAAATCCACAAAGGTATATCAATATTTTACACCCCTCTCGTCCCGTTTGCATACATCCACACCCAACTTAATAAAGGGCATAATAAAGAGTGTCAAGAGATTTAATCATCTAAATAAGACCCAAACTATAAATGATTGGCATCAAGTCAACCAGACCTCATATTTAGCATTTAGAGCAAATTTCCAAAAAGCCCAGACTCTGATTGATTTCATTTGTTGTTAAATAGCAACCAAATATTTAGAGTGATCTTCACTAAGGAGTTTTTTCCTAAATTCTTTGTGGGTTAAGATTATAACTATAATAATTTCACCAACATATCAGCCCAGGTGGACATCCTGAATTATTTTTTTGTAAAAACCTGCTGGAGCACACACAGTGGTCCTCAAGCAGCATATAACAACAGGTGCCAGCTTGCAGACATCCACATGATCCTTTACACCCCTACCCATTGACAACAGTTGTCAGCGTATTTCAAAATAGGCCTAGGCATTTTATGTTTAGGACTCAGATTTCAGGCGTCAAATTTCAACCCCAGTACTTAACATCAATGTGTACTGATGGCAGGAGGTTAATACAATGTTAACAGTATGCAGTGTTTGTCAAAGATTAATTCTTCCATGGGAAGAAGGAGAGCACAGGATTTTATCCAATCTACACAATCGGCTCGGTTGGACCTTTTTTTGCCCCACTATTCTATATATTAACAATTGTACCATTTTGTTCTAAAAGTCCTATATATTCATCTCTTGAAATTCAAACTATTTGATATTTCATCTAGTCTAGTCATGTGAAAAAATACAAAAATTAAACTTGAAAACCTTGTAACTGATGCTCTTGCACTGAAGCCGTTACAGGAACGGTTTGCAGCGATATGTCAGAACCCAATGCTGTTGAACAGTTCAATAGAGCTCAGATATCATTTAGTTTTAATTTTAACATTGTTTGAGCAACATTTTTGTGTGCATCCTATTGCATCTCCGTAGCACGATCTTTATGGGATACCATTTCCAACGTTTACTTTTTTTTTTCAGCTATCATCCAATGTCATTTGAACAAGACCAGGTTCAACCGTTTCGTCCTCACTGCTAGAGTCATCTTGTTCGAGCCCTTGACTCAGTCTTGGAATCCAAGGAATTACTTCCAGCTTGTACAGGATTATTTCGATCCTTCCAGTTTTGGCCTAGAGAGAAATAACAATTTTTTTTCTTTAAATATGCCATAACATAATTTAAAAATTTGTGCAAAAAAAATTGTAGAAATGATTTCCAAACTTTGACACACACTCAAACACACAACACATTACCCAGATAAGGATTGAAACACAACTTATAAGAAAAATAAGATAAACAAATTCAATACTGTGTAATGAAATAGAATTAAAATGATATTAAAAATGTTAGTTAAGATTGCAAACAAGCACAGCATACATAGAGTTAGTGAATATTTTTTTTTTTCTTAAATCGTCTGTGGAGTAAGATTTTTGTTATAGTTTTTTTCTTCTTCATCTCATTTTTATCTCATTGAATTATTTTTCTTCAACTTCTAACATGGTCACTTCAAACTTGCCTATTTAAAACTAAACAAATAGTAAAAGAAATTAAACTATGTGATTTGAAATAAAATGTAAACAAATAATATCGTTTTTAAAACTGTTGCTAGATTACTCTTTGACAAGTTGATGCTGTGTAACTTCAGGACTTCTCAACGCTCAAAGAATTGATTCAGGAGAAGTTAACCTGTATAGAAGTTCTCTTGATTTGTGTTAACTTCACGGGTCTTACTAATTCAAAAATCACAGGGCCATTGGCCTGGTTAAAAAAAGACATGAATGTATAAAAAATTAAGCCCACCTGCCATGAGGACTTCTTTATGTCAATTTCTGAGGGTAGTCTTTTTATTTTATACCTCCAAGATTTTTTCTTTCCTTTAGGGTCAGATATTTTTGCGAGCATGTCGAAACCCCTGAAGATAAGTATGGAACTTTTATTAATTACAGTCTGCCTTTTTGATTTGTGATATATGGCACAGAATACTTAAATGGTCAAATTAATGTTTCGAAATCTTAGTTATTTATATATGTATAAAATCTTTCTATCTAAATGGGGTTGAAAGTTTTGTTTTATTTTTGTTTTTTGGTTTATTTTGTCATGTGAAAAGTGTGGTAAGTCTTTTTAAAATGCTGAAACAAATTTCCTGGGTGTCATTATTTCTATAATTAAAGTTCACACTGCTGAGGTGAAGACACATGATCTCATCGATCTTACCAACCATTTAAAAAAGGTCACGTCCACCTCTCCGTTCTTTGGTTGCCTCTTGGCCCCAAAGAAAGGGACGATAACATCGTCTATCAGCACAGTCACTTTCACGGTTAGTGAACTTGTTTCATCAATCGTGGCTGAAACATAAAGACTGATATAGATATAGGCAGTTCGAATCAGTAAATTTGCATATTTTAGTTTAGTGAATATAATTTAATTGTGCATGCCGTACAAAGCTACTTACTACCATACTTTTTAACATTTAAAAAAAAATAATTAAATAATAACGTTAAAAAATCAGGCATTTTGTGTAAAAAAATATTCTAAACCACTTTTATTTATTAGTTGATTTATTACTTTAAAAAACAAAAACTTTTGTTTCCCCACTATTATAATATTTGAATTGGACATATTTGCATCTTGGTGTTGTTGCTTTTTTCTCTTATAAATTTTTTAAGTCAGCAGCGACATGACTAGATGATTGCTCTTTATTTGTGTATGTTTTGTTTTTAATTTTTACTTTTAAATATTCATAGCCAAAGACAAAAACGTCAGTTTTATTATACACTCGAACTATTTCTTCTAAGAGTGTTGGACTGCGACAAAGCTTTAAAATAGATTAATTAGACAAGAACAATTTGTGTCAATGTAACAATATAATATGTTAAGCTTTCATAATAAATTTACATAGAATACAAATTAACTATTTATTCGAATTAAGCCTTACCAAATGGTTTTTTCTCCATCTAGTTAGAAGTTTATCAAGCGATGTGTCGTTAAGTTACATTTGTTTAGTTGTGAGCATCTGAGGTTCCCATCCATGTTCTATGGGATAAAATTTGAAAGAAAAAAAATCTCATTAATAATCAAATATTTGTTCATGGACTAAATAAATGTTAATCTGTCCCAAGCCTCTGGTACATGCAACCATTCCATATCATTGTTGTGGCAATGCAAGAAAGACGTGTATATTGTGACTTATATTACTCTTTTAAAATAAGAGGGTCATCCAAATATTGCATAAGCAAAAAATTTAAAGTTGCATACCCCCTAGGGCCACCAAAAAAAACCCCACCTGCTTCAATTTTTATTAGACACATATGACGTACATGGCCATCAAATGAGTTATCGTTAAGTGTGTTTAAAAGTAATTCACTGGTTCTCTCTGCTGTATTGCTGACTAAGCTAGTTACTGTTGGGATACTAGGCATGTCCCTTATTAAAGTTCAAAGCAACACTATGGTGAAAACACTTCAATAATAAAACTATCTGGTTATATTTTAATAGCCTTTGAAAATAATTAGAAATGTTCGATTTCACAGATTTTAAGGTGACCGTAGACTTTATTTAAGAAATACCGGTACACAGGATAATTAGAGTTTCTAAATTTCAAGATATTTATTTCAGAGCTAGTGCATAAATGGATATACACATTCTGCTGAGGTCACTCCCCAACTGATCATAAGCACTAGTTCACAAAAATCTCCAGAATCAACAATCCCATTTCCCTTTTACCGCGTACTAGTATATGGATGGATGGCACCTTGAGGTTTACCATACTGATAATATGTAATCAGATTTAAAAAAAAGACATATCTGTAAAATAAACATTTTAAATATTTGCATTTTGTTCGTTAAACAATTCCTGAATTGCCCAATAAGCATTGTGATTTCTGTTCTGTCCTTCCATCATTCAATTCTATAGATACATTTAATTGATATAATTAGTGCATTAAATATAATATTTTTTCACTTACGGAAGAACATGAAAAGAAAAAAATGAAATTTTATGAAAACCAGTTAATTTCTTTCTTTATTGAATTATGACAATGTATCATTCTCTTGGCGCCTTTTAGAAATAATCCCAATCAAAACATTTTCATACAAAGTTTATTGTGAATCAAATTAAGAAAAAAAAAAAGCTCTTTGTTAAGTAAAATGACAGAATCTGCATCCTTAACAAGTAATGATACTTGCTCTACTCCATACCACTGAAATGATGACAGATAAACAGGGGGAAAAAAAGGAGTGGGGGGGGGTGTCATTTAATAGAAATACAATTTGCCCTAAAATAAAAAAGAAGAAAAGAATCCCAGTAATTTAAGTTTATTTGAAAATAATCAAAAGAGCCACACAATATATTTTTTTGACAAAATCTGACGACAGTGGAGGCTGGTACATCAAATAATAGAAAATAAATAACTGCAAAGTCAAATGAATCACTAAAGCTTGCTTGGTTACTCTAACAGCTAAACTTCAGTGTCAAAATCTTGTAAGCCAACAGTATCTCTGGATATTTCTGCCCACTCAGTTTTGCATCTAAAAATATGGTTAAAGTGTAATGTCACTGGAGTGCAGAGAAAGGGCAAGGTGAGGAGAAGGGGTGCTGAAAAGTGGTCAGGGCCGAGAAAGGGCCGGCTGAGGATAAGGGGTACAGAGAAGAGGTGGGGTGCGGAGAAAGTTCAAGGGGGCAGAAGAAGGGCAGGGGTGCGGAGGAGAAGGAGAGCTGTTAATTTATGTACCCTGTTACATCAAAATTTAAAACAGAATATAGAGTCACTGTTAGATGTGCCATACGCGCAATGAAGTCCCATTTCGCAAAATGTATATCCTTGAAAAAAACTTTGTGTAAAATATTTCGTAAAAATATAGTTGTAAATAAGTTTTGATTTATGTTATGGGCCACTTTGCTAACATAGTAGTAGTAGCATTGAACAGTATTAATATTTGACCGACCTGAGTACCCGGATGATTACAGCAGTTATATTAATAGACTCTGCCATTAAATGACAAGCCCTATACATGGCCGTCACTGTCATTCACCCCTCAAGATCATGGGGCTTTTAACCTGTGGTCCACGGAATCCCTTGGATTAGTAATATGATTATATATATTCAAAAATGTATTGTAAGTTGTAAGAAAGGTACCTGGCCTTCATCTGTCTGGCAAAGTAACGCCTACCTATAAACCTAATCTCTACCATTTTGAGACAAATGCCAGGAACATTTAAAATCCTGTCTTAGCTAAATAATAAATATTGTTTATGGTCCGAGACTGGTGTTAAAAAAGTGAAATACAGGAGACAATATCCGCCTAAAAATTAACAACAAAAGTTTTCTTTTTTATGTTTTTGGCTAATCCTAGTTACAATTGCCACAACTTATTATCCAGGGAGTGACTTCCCTTTGTTTATTTTTACTAAATTATTTTAGGGATCGATTTAGGGTTCAGGTTAGGCATAGGGATCGATTTAGGGTTTCAGGTTAGGCATAGGGATCGATTTAGGGTTCAGGTTAGGCATAGGGATCGATTTAGGGTTCAGGTTAGACATAGGGATAGATGACTTCACGTGAAATGTTAACCAAGATGGCGGCCATTGAGAAAATAGTGGCAATCGTAGTCAAAATTTACCATATTTTTTAATCACTTTTTTTTTTTAATCAACTATTTCAGATATAAACAGTCTAAATTCTAAACAGAGAATATTTTTTTAGGAATGATTGGAAAAAGAAGAAATACTTGTTCCTCCAACACAAATTAAGTGCTGTAATTCTTTTAAGGAAATAGCCGCTAAAACACGACCACTGGTGTAGACGCTAAAACAGGAGATTAGCCAAAATTATTATATAATAAATTTTTAAAAAGTAAAAAAAACACACAAAAAATCACATTCTCACTCAGTCTCAGTCATTCATTTTCATCTTATAGGTCAACTTGTTTGTTATTTACTACGCTATTCGCATGACAAATTAACGCTATCAAATTGTATGGATATGTAATGAGCTGTGGTATTATGTGAACTGTTTGGAATAAACAGATTTTTAAGATCACCATACTAAATCTATTGATATGGACATGGAAAATCTTGCTTCTTGACCGGGGTCGATAGACAGAGTCGGGTTTTTTTTCGGCATTATGAAAGCGGTCAAACAACCAGCTTTAAAAAAAAAAAATTAAAAATCAAAAAAAAACTTGAACTGATGTCACCACTGGTTTTAACAAAATATTACATTTTAAAAAATGATTGGTAGTTAATTATAAACCAGTCTGTTGGAATGATTTCGACCAGAGCAGCTTTTTCGCTTGACTTCAGAAGAGAAAAAAAACATGAAAAAAAACGTTTCTTCATTTTTTTTCTGGCCATAGTAATGTTTTCTGACAGATATAAAGAGTGGAAATTCCCGCAGTAATTTTCCCCAAAACAATCTTAAAATTCCCGATTTTATTTTGCCAAAGAAAACCTTTAATATCAGTTCAAGTTCAACTAAAAATAATTGAGAATTGTTATGTTTTATTGTTTTCCAACGTGGGTATAATTTATCTATGGTAATGACCGAGAATCAGTGGCGTAGCGAGGGGGGAGCAGGGGGGACAGATGTCCCCGGGCGCAAGCTAGTTATGGGCGCCAAAATTTCTCCGACCGTGATATTTCACAAACGTTTGACTCGAACTCAAAGTAAAGAGGATATGGGTAATTAACCAGGGTGGTGGGGGGGTGGGGGTGGTGGCAGAGCCATGAAGTACCCAAGCTAACAAAGTAAACACCTCGGGGCCCTGCCCTGCCCGCATGTGGGCCCCTGCGGGCGGGCATTTTTGTTAGCCCAGAAAATTAAGCCCCACAACACACACACACGAATCGATATCATAGAAAATAAACGTTGACTTTTGTTTTAACAGGAAATAAACAACTTGTAAAAAGTTACCAATAACCTTGTAATTTAGTTCACTAACTACATTTTAATCATCCTCCGCGTGGGGGGGGGGGGGAATGGAGGGGTGGTGGGGGGATTTCCGTATTTATTTTATTTTATTTATATAGAGGGGTGGCACTGTCAGATTTTTCGATTTGGAGGGGCGGCAAAAATTTTGGCCCCCATCGAGTGATTACTAACCCTAGACTTTTAAAGGTCCCTTACACGTTTTCGGAGGCGTGCGCTCTGCATTCAAAGAAGATTATTTTCCCCACATCACAACTTCATGCCACTTAAATTCTAAATCCGACTGCAGCAGCAGGGGTTGCATGACCCACGTTACTGGACAGATTTATTAGAAGCTAGTCAGTCATTCTATTAATTCTATTATGTCACTTATTTTATTTATAGTATATTTTGTGGCCACAGGATTCCGACTGCCGACTGCCTAAATCGTGATCTTAATATGAGAAGTCCAATTGCAAACCCTGCTAAGTCGATTTTTTGAAAAAAAATGAGTTAGTCCCGTTGGCTCATCTATGAAGTGCTATTTCACAATATTTTACTAGTTTTTAAAATCAAAACCCGCTAAGTTCGCTTATTTCGCTATTTAAAAACGGAGTGGCTATAGGTACCGGGTACCTATAGCAGCAATTGGCTATTCGGATCCGGCTGGTCACGTGAGGGCTTTCGATATTCGGTTGGTCACGTGATAGTTATGACGGATACTTCCTGTTGGTTCGCCATCTTAGAGCCATTATTATCAATCGAGAACTCTCCATATTTTGAAGAATTTCACGTGGCGTTGAAGAAACAAGAAGAACAATTTGCGTACATCTAAAAGCAAGTAAGAATACGTTTATGTTTATAATTTTATTGTATTTTTAAATTCTATTTTAAATATAGTTCTATAATCATTAACATGACATCAATCAAGATTCAAGATCAAAGTTTTTTTTTTTAGCGGCAAATCGGCTACTGTCTTATCTGTAATTGTAGTGAAAGGTTTGGCTGCGGCTATTCGGACCCGGTATCAGAAGTGGGTACTTCAATTTTAATTCACCGCAAAAATTATTATTATTCACTTTTCCCATAAAACAAATGTTCTTTTGAATAAAAAAAATGGCCAAAAACAATTCGGAGAGATCAACCCGCGGCCGCCATCTTGGTTATCGTGACCCACGAACTTATGTCCTAAATGAATGTATCCCTAAACTAACCTAAACTCTAAATGTATCCCTAAGCCTAAACCTAACATGAACCCTAAAATGTATCCCTAACCCTAATCAATCTGAATTAGCCTAAAAAACTTTTAATTCAAAAATTATTATACATTATTTCACACTTTCAATAAAACAAATTTTTAAATTCTATTTTAAATATCGAAGTGGATGCGTACACCGCGGCGGTGTACCTAGCGAAACCATCGGCTTTGGCCTGCGTAAACCGCGGCGGTGTACCTAGTGAAATCGTGGGCTTTGGCCTGGGTACACCGCAGCAAAAATTTACCATTGGCCTGGTTTTAAGATATACTTGTTAGAGAAGATCTTGTGTGGTCAAGTGGTAGAGTGGACGCTTGGCGATAATATAGTTTGAGATCAATTCTTAGTAGGGGATCGAGTTTTTTTCCTCCCATTTTAGTTTTAAAATATTTTGTAGCAATTAAAACAATTTAAATATATGTTTAAATATTATATTAGAAACACTTTATATATTTATTTATATATATAAGTGTTTCAACAAGTTGTACCGGCCTTTGACAATACCGATAACTTTAGTAATAAGACTTTAGACATTTGAAAACAAACTTAAAGTTTCTGAAAGTGCATGTAATACATGATGATCATCTATAACAGAAACATTATGAATACTAAGTGACTGATATTCTATTGTATTTCAACATTCTTCGTGTAGTTGAATATTTACATTTTACTTTTACGAACACCCAAAGAAAATACCAGTATGAATAATATTCATGCATATGAATATTAATGTCATTAATGTGCATGGTCGTATTTCAACCATCTTGCTTTCACTATGCCTTATGCATTGGCAAAATGTACATACGATATCAAAGGTTCATTCACAACACTCAGTCTCACAGCAAATCTTTTGAAAACACCTCGATTTTAGAAACTTGCGGACCGCTAGCAAACTGTATAGCAAAGCCATAGGTCTGCGTTTACCCTTTTCATGACGGAATTTGTTTCCAGAATGGCATGTGCTATTCTCAGGGTAAAACATGACGTTTTCTCACAGAAACCATATCACAATGGGCTTGGGACAGGATTTGCGCTATGTCAAAGTTTTTGTATTTGTTGTTGTTTTTTTTAAAAGAAATCGATCCTTGCCGGGGAGTGGTGAGTTATGGGCAGAGGCTTAACCAAAAAGGGGGCGTTCACAAATCACGGCTCAGGATAGGGGTTGTCCACAAAGGACGTCCGCACAACAAACTTACCTTATGCATCCCCCCTCCCTCTGCCGGCATTTTTTTTTACTAATGTGTAATGCCAATGTAAAACTAAATCAATGATATTTAATTATTGTTAAAAGACTTTCAAATCACTGCAGTGTTTCGTATTTATCATCTTACTGCTGTTTTGTGTTGACACGCGCTTGGTATCACAATGACAATGCCTCGGACAACTTTAACTTCACGACTTCATGATTAATGTATGAGTATGTGATTCTCTTCCCGTAGTGTATTTGTGGCGTAATTATATCTTGGTGCTAACAAAATAGATTCACTGTCTTCCAATTCATTTTTACACCATGCCCGAGGGATCACATACAATGTTATATTTATAATGCCCCCCCCAAAAAAAAAACAAAAAAAAAACAACAACAACAAACAACTGGGTGGGGGTGGGCATGAGAGAATAATTTCAAATTAAGATTCACAATCATATGATAAAACTTACAATTAATAAATATATTTGTATTTCAATATATTGGGGGAGGGGGTACTTTAAAAATAAATCATGGTTTAACATTACACCCCCAGCCCCCTCCCTTCCAAAAATAAGAAGAAATGCTTTACATGCACTTTGCCACATAAGCGTGGAACTTACTCAATATCTTCCCAAGGTAATAAACGAATTTTAAATAAATAGTTTTCAGTTTTAACACTAGTATAACATTAAATCTACAAGTACTGGTTAGGCCAAAAAAGTTAAAGACTCGCAAAGACCATAGTTTTGCTACTTTAAATCGCTGCGGTGTACGCAGGCCACAGACCATGATTTAGCTAGGTACACCGCTGCGGTGTACGCAGGCCAAAGTCAATAGTTTCGCTAGGTACATCGCCGCGGTGTACGTAGTGCCGGCCTTTAAATATAGTTCTATAATCATTAACATGACATCAATCAAGATTCAAGA